GCCTAGCCCCAAAGTAAGCACTGTAAGGCTTGTGTTATGGGATACTATACTAGGGTAACGGATGGAATACATATACTGTACATATATAAGTATATTTTTATATAGAAATGCATATTAAACATATTATACCTATTATTTGACGACCTCCGTGGCCGAGTGGTTTCATGGTGTCGCCGACTTGAGAGGTCCCGGGTTCGGTTCGAGTTATATATGTATTCTATCCGTTTCCCTAGTATCCCGTGCTTACTTTGGGGCTAGGCTAATTGGTGTGAATGAAAAAAAAAGGTTTATAATAAAAAGTTCATTTTTGATATGTTTTACTGTCTGTTTGTTACCACTTTCTATTACCAATACGATACCAGGGCTATCCCGGGATCCCGGGACTAACTGTAGATAATCCCGAAATCCCGGGATTAAAAACATCGACCGGGATCGAATCCTCTAGCCATGACCTACCACGCGGGCCCAGTGCGGATTGGTGGGTGCTAACGACTGCAGATGCAGCCGGGACCAACGGCTTAACGTTCCTTCCGAAGCACGGAGGAGCTCGAGATAGTAAATTTTTGGTCACCCATCCAATGACCAACCACTGCGAAAGTTGCTTTACTTCAACGATCGCAGCCGAACACGCTAACCCCTTGTGCCATCGAGCTCCTCCTGACCTACCTATTGCGAATTTTCGTTACTAATTTAGTTGGTAAAACACCTATCTATGTACGAACTAATCTATACATCAATGTACTCACATAGGTACCATTGTGATGTTAATCCAATAATGTATTTGCTTTTGGAAGCGGAACGAATATCTCTGTTTATCTTTTTCTGCACAGATTCATGGGTGTTCTACCGAAATGAGGCCGAGAAAAATGAGTACGTATTCTAAGTAGGGATGTCGAAAGTTGCAAAAATATCGATATTTTAAAAAATATCAATATCGGCTTCGATATATCGCGAAAAAACATCGATATATCGGACCAATTTTCCCAAAAATATATTTAGGTCAGCCTAGCACAGTAATAATAACAATACAAATTATAATTAAAGAAACAATTTTCAAAGTACCAAATTGCCGCTACACTACATGACAGTACAGTATCTCACGAACGAATAATAATGGATCGAAAATTATCTTCCTATAAATAGACCCTATTTTCGAATGATGAAAATGATTGCAGGGCCTCTCAGGTGCCATCTTTCGTAAACAAGACTAGACAGTCACACACTTCCACAGAATATAATGGAATTCAGCACAACCAATTCACCAGCGACACAGATTTACAAATCATAGACAACACTACAGCACAGATCATAGATATGTTGAATATCATTATTTTGAGATCCAGTTACGATTTTTCCAGATACGAATTTAGTAAGATCGTGATATGCCGCTAATAATGAAAAAAATATCGTTTTTGATACGAATTTCCATATTGATTATTTTGTATCGATATATCGAATTAAAATATATCGAACTAAAAATATCGATATATCGATATATTTTCAACAAGCCTAATTCTAAGGCTTGAGGTAGATAGATAACTGTGTTCTCTGTTCTCTCGTGTGCTCCCCAATTTCCAAATTAGCACAGATTATCGCAATTATTCAGATTCTTCGATCGGAACTTAAGTATTTGTCAGCCTTTGAGTTTTTTATTGGAGATATATTATGTAGTAGTATGAGTTTTACAATTACGAAAACTATCAGATAGTTTTCGAGAGCTCGCACTCGTACTGAGGGTACTGATTTTATTGTTTTCGTTTCAATACAAATGTATAGTGTTTAAATTCTAAAATTAAATCATTTGCGTATTCTTAAATTTTAAGTTTAATTGGTTACTTTCCACCAAAATGGACACAGAAACATAATTTACAATTACGAAGACTATGATAGTTTTCGTGAGCTTAAACTCATACTAAGGGTACAGAAGGTATCCCATAAACAGGAAACGCCTTATAGCAAATTAGTAGAAGATCCGAACTAAAAACGATCTTCACCGAGCTGATAATAGAATGAATCATATTTTATAACAAATTTAGTATGTTAGAAAATATGTTGAAAATGGGTTGCCTAAAAAAATCCTGGACAGACAATTTTTAATTATTTGAAAAAAAAATTCTTTATTTTTTATTTTTGCAACATCAAGATAATACGAAAATTTTTACCCTGACTTAAAGTATGAAACGTATAGAATGTGCAGCCGTTGGGTTGCCTATTATTTATCTGGACAAACTACTCGGTTGTCAGGTATAAACAGGTATGTCGATGCCAGTTACCTTCACTCGATTAGATAATCGAAAAATTTTTATATCAATATGAGCGTTGTTTTATTGCGAACACGGTGATATAGGGTTGTCTGCAAAAAACTTGGTCCTAATAGGGGTTTGCGAATTTTGAAGATTTTAATTTTAACGCGAGTGGAAATGTATTCTATTTTCTATTTGCAGTTTCTATTTTATTTCAGTTTTTATTACTTTTCTTAATAATTTTCTCGAATAAAATTTGACAAAAAAAAGTGTTATTGATATAAATACAGTTTTCCATAAAAAGAAAATTTCAAATATCAACGTTATATACAAAAAATTAAACCCCGAAAGCTACGGTTGGCATTTAGATGATTTTTTAAAGCCAACTGGTTTTATCGGAGATCAAACTCCTTTGAAAATCCAGGACATTGTCGAAATGGAAGAAATTGAGGAAGAAACTAATAATGAGTCAGATGAATTCGAGAATCAAAATTATACTTCTGATGAATCAGATATAGAATAGAAAATATTTATTATAATTTATTTTTTATTGATATTATTTTTGTATGTATTTATGCTGTTTTTTAATAAAATTTTCAAACGCAATTCAAGATTTTTAGTCTATCTTTTTTTTTATCCATGAATTTGAATTTTCGGCTGTCCACTTTGTTTCTCATAAATTTTTCCAGAAAGAAAAAATGACCTGACCCCTCGTTGACACCAAGAATATAGTGATATACTAGTTTTACACAAAACTTGTTGAATACTTGTTGTGGCTGTTTGAAACCATTCTTTCTTTTTACCCGGCTGCGCAATGCAAGAGCGCGAAGCGCGACGCGCAGACAGGGTTATGTGTTTAACAGTCTATATATGTATGTTTGTTCATTTGTGGCACACTAGAGACCAAACGCCTGGACCGATTTTGGTGATTCATACATCAATCGATTCGTCTCAATCATGGGAGTGCTACTAAAGATATGATAGTAATCAAAATTCAGTATGGGCAAAATTAGGCGTCATATTGTGACGAAGTAAAAAAAATAAGTTGACAAAATATGTCGAGTGGTGTATCATTGTCTAGATAATCAAAAATCATATTTAGTTTCCTAACACCATTTTTCATTTTATATGATTGTTTCACTGCATAGACAACTTAGTAGGTATCTTTACAATTATAAATTACTTATTTACTTCACCTTTTTGTTTATTCAACAATTTTTGCAAGTATTGTATGTTGTAAACATGTATTTAAGTGTGAACTTAACATTAAGACATTAAAAGAAAATATAACTAGAAAAAATCTTAAATTATTTCTAGAAATATTTTCTTTTTCGAGCAGTTACATGTTTAAAAAAAATGAAAATTATAACTGTAATTGCTATTTTTTCTTTCAAATGTTTAATACTTGTAAAGGTATTCATTTGACATTGTGGGTACCTACAATGCGAAGAGATGGCGCTGCCTTGCAGCTTAAGAAAGGCTAGGAAGGAATTAGCCCGGATAGCGAAGGGAGCGTGTTCAAGTCCCGCCTGCTGCCTGGTCCGCGTGGAATTTTTTCTAGTAATATTTTCTTTAGATTTAAACATAGAGTATAAAAATTATTAAATACGTGTATTATTCCTTGGGGTAAGCGAGGGGTGAGAATGGCTCCTAAGTTACGCGCTGCTGTGAAAATAACTTTGCTATAGAAATAAGACGAAATATCGCAAAAACGCATCCGATGTTATCGACCGAAAATAACTCGCAATATGGACGGGAGGCTTTACATTTAAACAAAGCCTAACTACTTTTTATTTCAGGAACACTATGCATGAAAACTCTGAAATAAAACCGCAGTGTTTAAATTAATTGTGAAATAAATTTATTGTTCTTTTTTTAACCTTATGAATACTTTTACACTGATACTTACAACATGTAAGTACTTAGACAAAAAAAATCGAGCCATTTTATAGTTTATTGACAACATCTTTTTAGTTTATTCAAATTTTCTTTATTATTTATTTAATTATATCCTTAACTAAAGTATCGCAAATACAAACATAACAAGCTAAGTTGCGGACAGAAGGACGGATGGATATTGCGAAACTATATGGTTCTTTGTTGACTACGGAACCCAAAAATTTTGTATAATTTGACCCGATTTTGTTTACCACTAGTAAGTATAGTGTAATGTTTTATTTATCACAGATATTTTGCCTTTTTTTTTCTTATTAACCTAATGTTACATACTCCTATATTTGTAAAGTTTTCATTATGGCAAAAACTGATTAAAGAAAACAAAATATTTAACCTTAAACCGACTTTTTAACAATTATTATTGTGTCCTAATATTAATAAACAAGGAATAAGCTAAGACTAAATAGTTACGCAGCCATGTTGACAGAGATAAAACATGTTGACAGAGATAAAACATGTTTTATCTCTGTCAACATTTTTTTTATGTTATAGAGCAGACGGCTCATCTGATGTTGAACACCTGAAAATGATCCAAGTTCATTTTTTTAAGCATGTAACTTTTCTTTAGATTTAATCTAAGTTTGTTCCTCGTTTGTAAGTAAGGGAAGGGGTTTTTATAAAATTAAACAAAACATACCTCACCTATATGTTTTGTTTTATTTTATGTCAACATGATATTTTATATTTTTAACTAAAAATTGTACATACTTTGTAGTACCAGGGAATAGTTACCAAGCTTTATTATGTGTAAATATTGCTTCAATATTACCTTGCATTAAAACATTTTTTAAAACTGATATTTCTTATCTGAACTAACCAAAACATTATCGTAATAAGATCTCATTTAAAGGATATGGCGTCGTTTTAATTTGTAATTTTCTCTAAATTTCGCTGACACTAATATTCAACACTTGTTTTATTATTAAAATTGACGATCATGCCTAAAATAATGTCGCAAATTGGTAACACAAACATATGTCACCTGTAGCGGCTTTAATATTACTACCTATATGTCATAATTTAATACTTTTTACTATAACTCCGTTTTGATGTTGCAGATGCTGTAAAACTCCTTCTCTGGGAGGAGGTACTCCTTCGTTTTCACTTGGAATTTGCTGAAGTTGCAGTATTCGTCTAGTTCGCATCCTTCGAAATGGAGAACCTTTGCCGTAGACTCGCCGGCTTGAGGCAGGTACACCGGCTGTGAAGACAAACACCCTTATTAATAAACGAAGATTATGTAAGCTCACAGAACGAAACTGACTGACAAAGCCATAACCGTAATTGAAAGGAAATGGGGAGAGGCTGGTCAAATAGGTCGCAGAAATGATGGCCGATAGGGAAAGAGTGTACTGGAGTGGACACAGAACTGGTCACAGGAATATAGGCAGATCACCGATACCATGGGCATAAGATATCATGAAGATAGCGGGAAAACACTGTATGAGAACAACACAGGACCGAGCTAGATGGCATGCGCTGCAGGAGGCCTACATTCAGAATTAGATGGCTATAGGCTGAAGAAGAAGAAGATGTAAGCTCAAGACGTGGTCGTAGACAATGGGCCTCATAAAGGTGCTGCCCGACGGTCTTTGTTGATGCGGGCGAGGCCGCGCCGCCCGGGATTGCCAAACGTATGAGAAATGTAACGTTCGAGATTTAGCAGTATTGTTGTATATATATTGTCTTTAAAACATCCCCGCCGAGCAAAGAGCTGGAGGAAATAAGTAGGTAAGCTAGGAATGGTTACGCAGTGTTCTGATTTTGTTCTTCGAATAACAATTGTTAGTCTTTTTATGTGAAAAGTGTTGGCAACAAGCGCGCAAAAGTTTGATGTCAGAAGGCTGTGGAGTAAGCGGCCACCGCAGCCTTCTGATATCAAAAATATCACTCGCACCATTGCCTAGCCTTTTTTTTTAATGTCTAGAAAATGCATTACGCATACTTCGCCAACCGAGGGTTGCGGACGAAGCTATCGGGGACTCCTCTCCGCCGCTTCAGGGAATACAAGTGCTCCGAGAAGCAAACGGGGCCCTACCTCGCCAAGAAGGCGACCGCCACAAGGGCGACCGTAAAAACTAGACAATACTCCTGCACCGGTCACCCGGCACGCATTATGAGGGACCGCGGTCCCTCCTAGTGCGCACCGGGAGTGCGAGTGATGTGGCGGTATCCGTTTCCGAATAGTCCGCCCACCCGCAAGGTGATTGTCCGCAAGCGGACCCGCCCCGATGAAGATGCCCCGGAGTATTAGGGGCATCAACATCCAGAGAGCTTGCCCAATCCCCCAATCCGTGGAGCCGTGGAACCTTACTTACCGACAGAAACACAACACCACCAAAAGGCTTAGATTAAAATAAAAAGAGTAGATACGGTACGCTCATACTAGCATCAAATAAAATATGATCCGACTCAACTAAATAAGCGACTCTCGCCACGCACACGTCTGTATATAAACATCAAAAAACGCTTTTGATCGGGTTGATAACGATATTCTCTTGGGAAAACTTAAAAGTATTGGTTTTGCTCCGCGGCTCCTTCATTTAATTTCAAATTACCTTCGAGAGCGCCAACAATTTGTAAAATATGGGTGCTACACGTCTAGGCCTTACCATACACGTTTTGGAGTCAATCAGGGTTCAATACTAGGTCCGCTTCTATTCTTGATCATAATGAATGATCTCCCCACAGTCATTAAGAATGCAAAATGTATTATGTACGCTGACGACTTAAAGTTGGCATTGGAAATAAAAGCTGAGTCAGACTGTGAACTACTACAAAATGATATAAACTCAGTATCTGAATGGAGTAGGGTAAACAAAATGCTTATTAATGTAGGAAAATGTTGCGTCATGACCTTCGGAAGAAAGATGACAAAAACGCGTCATCAATATACACTGAATGATCAAAATATTATGCGTGTGGAATCAACCAAGTATCTAGGAGTAATATTTGATACCAAACTTACGTTTCACGATCATATAATATCTCTAGTAAAAGAATCTTTTAGACGTCTCGGTTTTGTTCTTCGAAATTGTCGCGATTTTAAAAACCCGCAATTAATTAAAATTCTTTACTATGCACTTGTTCGCAGTAAACTTGAAGCCGCGAGTTGCGTGTGGCACCCCCACGAAAGCACATATACCCTGTTGCTTGAGAAAGTTCAGAAGGCATTTCTAAGATATCTTTATAAACGCATTTATACTTTTTCCCCATACCTTTACCCAACTGTATTTGTCTTAGGCACTCTTGGCTTAAATTCTCTTAGAGCGCGTAGGACAAGGAACCAACTATGGATTGGCATCAAAATAATCCGTGGTATTATGAATGCTCCAGATCTACAGAATGAACTTAGTCGGTTGTATGTCCTGACCGATATACGCGGCACCGACTTAACCCTCCGCGTCGTCTCTTCGCACCACCGTTTGTCCGTACTGTTACCCGCGCTCAATCTCCTCTTTGTCGCATTATGACTGAACTTACTGCGCTCCTGGCTGATAAGCCTGAGTGTGATGTGTATGCAGATGGATGGAATAAAATAATGTATGATTGTCTATTGTTTTGCGAGAAAAATGAGTGTGAATCCTCATCTTTGTAATTCGTTTTTTTTTACTAATTGCTGTAAATGGTATTTTGCCGTAGTAATTAGAATAAATAATTAAAATAAATAAATCAATCGAGCGAGCGAGACAGAACTATACGCTTCAACGCAGCGTATTGTTGTCCTTTACTTGCTTAAAAAATGGCGATTACGTAAAAAATATTCACGACAAACCGTGATTTTTGAGAACATGTTTTCCCAGTTTTACGAATGAAAAGTGTTGCAGTGGGCATTTGATTTTGAACTATTTGTGTTCTTTATAAAAGCATCGAAGGCATTGTTATATCTTCATAACACAGAATACACGCAATATTGTTATATTGAGTGTACATGCAGCGTGTTTGAATGTCAAATTGTGACTAAAGCGAATTATGGTCGTGGATCACAATTTGAGCGGATCACTTTTGAGCCGCGAATGCCGTATCTTCCCTTTTTGTTTTAATCTAAGCCAAAAGGTAGTGTTATTTTACTGTGATTCTCTGTAAGGTGGATGTTACTTCCACAGACGGGCGCTCCAATTCGAGCAGAACAACCTCTTTGCCCTACCTCTCCTAAAGTGAGGAATATGAACAAAACACTAAAACAAAACACAAACTTATTCCTAGCTAGCCATCCCTCAATGTCTCAAGTCTTCGACCAGTGCGTCCTCCCAGTTATGACATACGGCGTCGAGACGTGGACACTCACGGCTGGACTGGTCCACCAGTTTAAAGTCGCTCAGAGAGCTATGGAAAGGGCTATGCTCGGAGTATCCCTGAAGGACCGCGTCAGAAATGATGTAATCCGACAGAGAATTAGCAAACTGAAGTGGCAGTGGGCTGGTCACATTAGCCGCAGAACTGACGGCCGATGGAGCCGTAAAGTTCTTGAGTGGAGACCGCGACTCGGTAAACGTAGTGTGGGACGCCCTGAGACAAGGTGGGATGATGACATTCGTAGGCTGGCTGGCGTGAGCTGGATGAGAGTGGCAGAAAATCGGAGAGACCTATGTCCAGCAGTGGATGAGCATGGGTCGATGGTGATGATGATGATGGTGAATCCCTAGCTTATTCTTCAGTACCCCTAGCACGAACCAAAATCGAATTCGTAACGTTTGCGAGTCGGAAATGTCATTGTCAAATCTGTACTGATTTTTAGTTCTCATTGCATACTTTGTGCCGTTGCTGTTCAAGTTTTCATACAAAATTTGAAATTGACATTTCGGTTTGCAAACTATTCGAATTCGATAATGGTTCGTGCTATTGGTACAGGGACGGGATAATTAATACTTGTAGTCTATTGAGTCTCCTTAATTTGAACTACAAGTATTCATTAACAATACTGTACCCTTAGTACGAGTTTTACAATTACGAAAACTATGATAGTTTTCGTGAGCTCGCACCGTATTAAGAGTGCTGATTTTATTGTTTTCGTTTACACACAAATAAACAGTGTTTAAATTCTATCATTAAATCATTTGTTTCTTATTACATTTTAAGTATATTTGGTTAATTTTCACCAAAATGGACATAGAAACATAATTTACAATTACGAAAACTATGATAGTTTTCGTGAGCTCAAACTCGTACTAAGGGTACTGGTGTAACTTGCGCAGAAACTTGTGGTCTGTTAATGTAACTTTTGATTGATAACAACTGTACTAAAAAGGTTATAGATTTTAATACAATGATTAGTTCACGGCTCGCGATTTAGATTTCGTAGAATTTTCTACATGACAAACTTTCATGCCCATGTCACCCTATTCAACATAAAGTTTATAATGTTCACGAAAATCAGTTCAACAATAGTTTAGGCGTAACGAGAGCGGTGATGAACTTTGTAAGTTAATTAAATAATTTGACCTTGTATACTTTTGACTCGCGGAATGTTTCTGTGATCTATGAATACAATGGTCGAAATGTCGACTCTGGCATTGTTCTCCAAACATAAACTTAAGGACATCGACGAAATCGGCCCTAGCATGCCCAAAAGAATGTCCTTCACTATTAATTTTCTACTTTTTTTTAACTTATTAGCAATGAATCATAGTAAAAGGACAATCTTTTTAAGAAAATAAAAAACAAAAGTTCTGTTACTAGATACTACAGTCCTTTTTATTGAAAATACAGCATTAAAAATCAACTGATAACTGGATTCAATAGGTTTCAGTATATAATAACGATTTATTTTAATAGTTCATTGGCTTCGTTATTATTTTATTTTGAAATGGGTGATTTTGTTAAAAAGTTGTGCCAAGATTGTTTACCTTATTAAATGCAATATAGGCAACCATAAGTATTTATCAACATAAGAATAGAACTATTCTACCTTAGTTAATAATACTTATCACTAGTATTTATATTTTATATTTTATAAAAAGATAGTTTATACTCCCATCCCATATAATATCTGTTTATTTTTATGAAAATCATAATGATAACCAGGTAAATACCTTATTACCGATCGTAAAATATAGAAACAGGTAAATGGAAAGACTTTGAACATTTCATTTGAAAAGAAATATATTATTACAATAGGTAGGTATAGGTATCATATTCAGAATATATAAAGTGTACATCTTTTACGATTAAGTATAATAATTATAACCTCAAAATCTAATACATTCTGTAGTAGGCCCCGGTTCCTCAAGTTGTCCGTATCTCAACAAATGCCTAATTAGAGTTTATGAACGATTCCGAACACAACTAGCATTTTCTCATTGCTGTGCGTTCTAGGGCATTCAATGTATGGGGAACGAGCAATGTCCTTTGTAGGTACGCAACATAAACAGCCGTTTTTTTAAATTAATTTAGAAATGTGATTTGTTCACAGCTTGAAGGGCGCGTAGATTTGAGTATATGTTATAAATTTAGACTCGATACCTACTCACGCTCCCGAGATAAAGGGTTTAGTAGACAGACAGATAAACGGCCGTATCTTTTTTTTAAAATAACTTATAATACGATTTTTTTCATAGCTTCGCAAAGCTTTAGCTGAGCAAAAGGGATAAAATTTCAACTAGATATCTCCACGCGTTCCCTAGATAAAGGGTTTTGACGGACAGACAGACGGATATAAAAGAGGGATCGTTTTTTCCACTTGACGTACGGAACCTTAAAAAAGGACTTACCATCACGCTCAGTTCCCCTGAACTCCTGGACTTGTACAACTCCAGCGCGAAGACAGCGCCATACTCGGGTATGCTCTGATCGCTCTTCACCTTCGACACCTCCATCAGAGCACCAATGTTGAAGTCGTGGGCTGAGAAAAGCCGCAATCGATTTTTGACAGGCTTGCCAGCAGCTATGTCCGATGCGAGATTCATGAAGTTGTTAAGAAGAACACCTGTAATGATTAAGTTGAAATAATAATTATTCCTAGCTAGCCATCCCTCAATGTCTCAAGTCTCAAGTCTTCGACCAGTGCGTCCTCCCAGTTATGACATACGGCGCCGAGACGTGGACACTCACGGCTGGACTGGTTTAAACTAATGTTAAAGTCTCTCAGAGAGCTATGGAAAGGGCTATGCTCGGAGTATCCCTGAAGGACCGCATCAGAAATGATGTAATCCGACAGAGAATTAGCAAACTGAAGTGGCAGTGGGCTGGTCACATTAGCCGCAGAACTGACGGCCGATGGAGCCGTAAAGTTCTTGAGTGGAGACCGCGACTCGGTAAACGTAGTGTGGGACGCCCTGAGACAAGATGGGATGATGACATTCGTAGGCTGGCTGGAGTGGGCTGGATGAGAGTGGCAGAAATCGGGAGCAGTGGCGTGCATTAGGGGAGACCTATGTCCAGCAGTGGACGAGCATGGGTCGATGATGATGATGATGATGAATGACAAAGAGGGGTACTAGCGGATTTCCGTCTGATGGAAAAGTAACCTCCATCTCTCGGAAGTCCACAGTTAACAATTCTTTTTATGGACGACCTCCGTGGCCGAGTGGTTTGTACGCCGGGTTTCATGGTGTCGCCGACTCGAGAGGTCCCGGGTTCGAATCCCGGTGGGGGCAGATGTTTGTGTGATGAATACGAGCATTTGTACTCCAGTCATGGACGTTTCATATGTCATCATCATCATCATCATCAGCCTATTAATGTCCCTACTGCTGGGGCACAGGCCTTCCCTATGGATGGAATAGGGAGATTGGGCCATGATCCACCACGCGGGCCCAGTGCGGATTGGCGGGTGCTAACGACTGCAGATGCAGCCGGGACCAACCGCTTAACGTGCCTTCCGAAGCACGGATGGCGCAACTGGTTAGCGCGTTCGGCTGCGATCGTTGAAGTTAAGCAACTTTCGCAGTGGTCGGTCATTGGATGGGTGACCAAAAATTTACTATCTCGAGCTCCTCCGTGCTTCGGAAGGCACGTTAAGCCGTTGGTCCCGGTTGCATCTGCAGTCGTTAGCACCCACCAATCCGTACTGGGCCCTGGTCATGACCCAATCTGCCTATTCCATCCATAGGGAAGGCCTGTGCCCCAGCAGTGGGGACATTAATAGGCTGATGATGATGATGAAACAAAACCAACTCATTGCTGCACTCAAAGTTTGACTAAAGTTGATGCTCTCAATAACCAACACGTAACTCTATGAAGTATGAAATAATTTAATATTTCTGTTGCTTAGTTAATTATACTGTGGATACGTGGGTTATATAGGTAAGCAAACAAAAGACAAGCAATCAGCAGTTTCTTTCCACATCCATATAGAGGTACAAGGGTAAAAAGGGTGCCTAAAGGGTGCCATTGTTTAATTACTACCAACTAGGTTTTATATGGCACAAGTGGTTAGCGCGTTCCGCTACGATTGTGAAGTTAACCAACTTTCGCAATTGTTATTGTTGTAACTGATTATTGGATGGGTGACCAGTAATTTACTATCTTTAGTTCCTCCGTGCTCCGGAAGGCACGTTAAGCCTTTGGTCCCGACTGCATCTGCAGTCGTTAGCACCCACCAATCCGCACTGGGCGGGCGTGATGGGTTATGGGCATGGCCCAATTTCCCTATTCCATCCAAAGGGAAGGCCTGTATCCCAGCAGTGGGGACATTGATAGGCAGATGATGATGATGAGGTTTTTAAACCAACATACAGGAATATTAAACATGCAGCTATACCAAAACTTTGTTTCCTTAAAATTTGTAGTAGTAAACGTACCTCCACCGATTTTCTTCATCTCATGAGTTCTGAAGTACAGCCTGTAGGCGAGTCTGGCGGCCTCACCCAATTTAGGAAGTAAAGGCTTAGCCCATTCTGGTATATCTAGACCTAGACCGACCTGAAAGTAAACAGGAAATACCACCGTTAGCCTTGACAGTACTTTGGTGAAAGGTTAGACGGGTTTTTATGCAATTTTGTCTAGCAAGTATTTAATTGCAATCTATTTGTTAAGAGTTGCATGGATCAAAGAGCAGAGAAATCTTATGCTACACGAATTTTAATACATAGCTTAAATACTGTTTTAGTCTTCTGTTTTATAATTAATAATAATAATAAATTCTTTATTTATTTCTTCACATAAGTAGAAAAAATTACAATAAAGTGCTTAATTACAACACCTCACCACTTAATGTGAAGACTGGTGCTTGCAATAGGATAAACCTGTTCTACAAGACACCAGGCCTCCACTCCCAAAACTACATGAACAGAGCGAGCCACCCCTGTACCATTTATGTGATTAATGTGTTAATTAATATGAGAAGTGCTAAAGAAACAACTTAAACACAATAATAAAAAATTAAATAAAAATAAAAATGTAATTGTATGTGTGTGTGTGTGTGTGTGTGTGTGTGTGTGTGTGTGTGTGTGAGTGTGTGTGAGCGTATGCGCGCATGTGTGTATTTTTGTGTGTGTATGTATTTATATATAACGGTTCCCATAAATGCTTTATTTATTGCCATTGTATTACCAATTTGCAATTTTACCTGATCCATTCCAATCTCCTGAACTTGAATTGATTTCATCATCGTCATTAACTTAGAGGCATCATAAGGATATTTAAACCTATTTCATTTAACTCCAATAAATAATTACAGATCTGTTGCTTTATCTGTCTGCTTGTATACTGCCTTAGATTAATTAAAGGAGGTTAAGGAATTGTTTTCAAGTGGAGACCTTCAGTTGAAGATAGATAGGCAGCGTTAGGTAGTTTCAGATCCAGATTCCTTGTTACTATATTCTACCAATCGAAGAAGCTATGTGCGTGTGAAGTGAGTGATCTTTTCAAAATACTCATCCAACCACAACCAAATTATAAGAGGATTTAGGAAATAATTGTGAAAACTTAATGGTAAGGTATAAAATTTGTGAAACCTAAACAAAGAAAGTTAGAACTAATTAACTGGATCACTCAATCTGGACACCTGAAGAATAAGCCATAACGCGTATCCAAGAATATACTACCTATGTGTTTATAATTTGTATTTGAAATAATTGTGAAGAATTTGTGAAAGCTGCTAAACAAATTTTCGATTCATTTCAAAGCCACGTTTAAGATTTAGAACGGTTTATATGCATCACTCAAAATGCAGTATGTTCATTTGAGTGATCTTTTAAAACACTACCTTATACTCAAAAAGTATGAAACATTATCATATTTATTATAAATTATGCTTCTGGGAAAGTATTAAGTAGTTAAAACACTCTAAAACATCTTTAAAACTTCTAAAAACAAAACTTACACAACTCTCGGTACTGAAGTAAACCGATATGGTCACACTTCTCAACGATTTCCTTAAGGATTGTAAAAAATGAGTTATCTTTTAAAATATAACACTTACTGGGACGATTGGTTCGTCAAATTTTAGTACAACATTCACAATTATTGATGTAAAGTTTGGGTTTATTAAATACTAGTGGCCCGCCCTCGCTTCGCTTCGGTGTAGAGCTGTAGTGTAAAGTATAGTTTTTGTTCTCAGGCTTGTGCTATAAAGAATGACTTTATTTATATAATTACAAGTGTTATTGTGAGTCAACCATAAAAGATAGACATATGCTGTTGGGGGATATTTTTTAGACAATTTTATGTAGAATATTTCCGTCATACATGATTTCTATGTAAATTTAACCATTGAGGCTGCACACGCGACGGAAGCTTAAAAAATGGAGTAACTTCTCCCGTTTTCCCAACATTTCCCTTCACTACTCTGCTGCTATTGACTGTAGCGTAATGAAAAGTATACTATAACCTGCCCAGGAGTATGAAGAATAATTGTACTAAGTTTCGTTAAAATCCGTTGAGAAGTTTTTGTTTCTATAAGGAACATACACACAGACAGACAGACAGACAAAAAATTTACTGGTTGCATTTTTGGCATCAGTATCGATCACTAATCACCTCCTGATAGTTATTTTAAAAATATATTTCATGTACAGAATTGACATCTCTACGGATTTATTATAAGTATAGATAGTTCAAGATAAGGATCACTCAGTTGGGACGATCGATAAAAAACAAGATTTTCATTTTCTCTGAAACCAGTAAGATTTCAATCCCGATCTTTGTTTTACAAATTTTCCCAGAAGCATAATTTATAATAAACATGATAATGTTTCATACTTTTTCAGTATAAGGTACCTAGTGTTTTAAAAGATCACTCAAATGAACATAGTGCATTCTGAGTGATCCATATAAACCGTTCTAAACCTTAAACGTGGCTTTGAAATGAATCGAAAATTTGTTTAGCAGCTTTCACAAATCCTTCACAATTATTTCAAATACAAATTATAAACACATAGGTAGTATATTCTTGGATACGCGTTATGGCTTATTCTTCAGGTGTCCGGATTGAGTGATCCAGTTAATTAGTTCTAACTTTCTTTGTTAAGGTTTCACAAATTTTGTACCTTATCATTAAGTTTTCACAATTATTTCCTAAATCCTCTTATAATTTGGTTGTGATTGGATGAGTTTTTTGAAAAGATCACTCAGTCCATACGCACATGAAGAAGCCTAATAATGGAGACCTGGTATGAAACGTCATAGGATGGACACGGAACAATCTGGTCTAAACTAGGCTGTTAATGACACTTACAAAAGTCTTAAAGCTATGATATGTAAAAAAGCTTATAATGTAAAATCATCAACATCATCATCAACAGCCTATCTTAGTCCACTGCTGGACATAGGCCTCTCCAAATGCACGCCACTTAGATCGATCTTGGGCTATTCGCATCCAGCTCCTGCCAGTCACCTTGCGCAAATCGTCACTCCATCGCGCCTGAGGACGTCCTACACTACGTTTGCCTAGACGCGGTCTCCACTCCAGAACTCGTCTACCCCAACGGTTATCGGTTCTTCGACAAATATGGCCAGCCCACTGCCACTTCAACTTGCTAATCCGGTGGGCTATGTCGATAACTCTGGTCTAATGTAAAATGTTCACCTTTGAATATGTAAACTTTTCTAGAAATTATTTTTACCTGACTTCTTAGAAGATCAAATAGCGTCTCGAACAGCAGCGGGTCTTCTGTGAAGTTACGTCCCGTGAGGACTTTTAGTTTCGGTATGAGGTGGTCAAATGGCTTGAACTCTTCGTTGATGGACTCCTGTTTTGCGATCGCCATCATGGCTTTGAACTTCTCGCAGTTGGAGTAGTAACGCAGCTGTGAAAGAAGAAAAAAAATAAACTTAGCATATTTAAATCCTGCTGCAAAAATATGAGATTGTAAATTGCGACAAAATTTTCCATATTTGGGCATTTAGGCAGGACTTCAATCATGAAATAAATAGGTAAATTATCTTGTATGATCGTTTGTGCTATTTCGAGCAAGCATTTAACTGAGTCTTTTAAAGCAACTAAAATCATGTTAAACATCGTTATTTAAACTTCTTATATAAATTATGATGCCGCCTAAAATAGGTAATTTTCTACTGTTTCATGAAAAGTTTCGGCGCTGTACTAGTCAAACGCGCGTGAAAAACAATGTTATTTTTTTAATTCATTCGATACTACATAGTTACTGACTACCACGCATCGAGCACTAAATTTTATGACTGTTAAAAGTTACAGAAGTTAAAATTGTGACTGTCTAATGAGAAAAACCCTTTACGCGGAAGGGATCGAAAAAGAGAAGGAGTGTTATTATGAAATTTAGTACAACATTACCTATATCATCCGTTTGAATGACATTATGGTTAAATAAAACTAGTTTTTCACGGGTTAGTGCACGAAACTTTATTTATTTATTGACGTTTCGCAGCCTTTACAGGCTGCATCGTCGGAATCATTTCTTTATTTAATTTTGTCGAGCTACCTTCGAAAGACTTTTATTGAGCGTTCGGTTATTTCATTGTTCGATTTTTAAAAGTTTTATTGTCTTTGTTAGAATTTATTACTTAATTTAGTTAATAAAGTACTTTATTTAAAATTCTTTTTTGTAATTTTGAGTTTATTTATTTGATCCTAACTACCGTAAACTACCACCGGTTCCAAAATTGGGAGACCTTTCTGGGAAGAACCGGCGAAACAAACTCAAGAGAGGCTTTCTATCTCCTTCTTATGTTAAATTATGCAAACAAAAAGAACTAATAGTATCTGTTGGTCTAGTTTTATTTAAACTAGTTTTATTTAATGAGTGATGTGCGTGAAAACCTAAGGAACAAATATTATGGTTAAAATTCAATGTCCTAAACATTGGATGTTTTTAATTGTTGGCTTAAAATCTAACTGTTTCAGAATCTTTTATAGAGGCTTGAAGGCAACATTTGGTCTGTCTTACAACGTAATTCCACTATCGCACGGAATTGTCAGATTTTCATTGGATTAAATCAGTGAAACGCCTAATGATTTAATTGTAAACACTTGTTATCTACCAAGTTCAAGATGTTAATTTAAACAATCTAATAGAGATCGCGATAGTCATATATACACATCCTGTTAATTATTTATGTAACCACTATCCAGATTGCCGAGTGGAGAGGTTATCAATGTCAGCACACGCCATCCGATTTATATACGCATCTTGTTCATTATGGCGCTTTGCAGACGACGGGGCGGGGCGGGCTTTTTGTCCGCGAAGCAATAAAAACCGCGTCTGCCTGTCGATGTCTGCGGCTGCCCTTGCCGCGTACACAAAGCATACGACGGGCAGAGGTAGTCAGTTCAGGACGTTCGTTCTAGTGTATAGTCCATCACTAAAAAGCGCGTGGCGCGGACTGAGCTAGCCGCCCCGCGCCGTCTGCGTTACTGCATATAAACTGGTTTGTATGATCCACGGCGGGCAGCCGCGGACATCAAGGCGCGGTCTTTTTGCCCTCTGTGTGCGTTTGTAGTATAGGATTCACTTTGTACTATCGTTCGCGGCGAAATTGACCGGCCCGCTCCGCCCCGCCGTCTGCAAAGCGCCTAAGGGTTTTTTTTAAACTACAATTCGAAATCTGATTTGATTAAATACGAAAATATCTTGTAAGTTTTGAATCATCATCATCAACCTATTAATGTCCCCACTGATGGGGCACAGGCCTTCCCTATGGATGGATAGGGATATTGGGCCATGACCCACCACGTGGGCTTAGTGCGGATTGGTGGGTGCTAACGACTGCAGATGCAGCCGGGACAACGGCTTAACGCGCCTTCCGAAGTACGGAGGAACTCGAGATAGAAGATTTTTGGTCACTCATCCAATGACCGACCACTGCGAAAGTTGCTTAACTTCAACGATCGCAGCCGAACGCGCTAATCACCTGCGCCATCCAGCTCATCAAGTTTTGAATAAGTGTAATAATTGGAGCGTAACTTTCATAGTATTATAAAGGTAAAAATATCCGAGTAACTTGATTTGTTTGGTAACTTGATTATGGCTGACTTAAAGCGATATAAAGTGACAGGCATGTAGCTTACTTTTATAAAGATATCAATTAGACTAGAAGTTTACAGTTGTGTTACACTATTTTATAGACTTGCAACGAATATTCGGTTACTATTCGGTATTCGGCCTATTCGGCTGCTTTTATTATATTCGGCCGAATACCGAATATCTACATATTATTCGGCCGAATGCCGAATACTTAAATAATATATTTTGTCATAGATAAATAATTGGTAAAATGAAAAATATAAAATCGATTGATTACGTACCTATATATTCATATTTTCATTTCTGTTATATAATCATTTAAGTAGTCATTGGAACATAACACAGGTACATAATCATCTTCTGAATTGGAAAAATGGAGGATTCTATGTATTTGAATTATTGTGGTAATCAAAAATTTAGAAGGGTAAGGTTCTCATTTCTTTTATAATCATTTATTAAGTAGTCATTGGTACATAAAACAGGTGCATAATTTAATCATTTTCTGTATTAAACAAGTTAACAGTTTTTAATTCATTCAGTCATGTGATGAATGGTTACATAATAGCAATAATTTAATGTTTACGCGCCGTTTTTGGCCATATCTCAAAAGTTGGTTTTGTCATTTAGTCGCATTTTAGCTTGAGGACGGCAGATTAGAACAAAACAAAGGAGCGCGAAACAATCACGTCTGTACAAGTTTTTGGCGCTAAAATCCAGCCGAATACTTTTGCCTAATATTCGGTTATTCGGTCAGGGGCCTCGCCGAATATTCGGTATTCGGTATACTGCCGAATATACTATTCGTTGCAAGTCTACTATTTTATGAAATCGATCGTGTGACTTTACGATGTGATTCATGTTTGTTTTCAAGTACAAATCGCTGAATTTGTTAGGTAAATGTTCTAAAGGAAATTTAACTAGAAAAAAATCTACTCGGTCCACGTTTCAGACAGGATTCGAACCCGCATCTTCTGCTTTCGTAAAATTCGTTGGTAAAATTTTATTTTGATTTCGTTTAGGCGATTATCAAGCTGACACGCTGCGCAGCGCCGCCCGGAGTGTAATACTTAACCAAGTTTATTGCAATCTCTTATCTATTAGACAAGTCCGTCCGTCCGTCCGTCCGTCTGTCTGTCTGTGGTGCTGTTTCAGCGGCCAAACCGTAAGAGATAGATAAAGAGAATGTTTAAGTTATAAGTTAAGAATAGTCTGATAAGACTACAAACCGGATTTGAGTAACGTAGCACTTCCGGTTTTCGAGAAATCACGAATTTCAAACGAAACCACACAAAATCTCCGAAGTTCTCAATTAATTAAATACATTTTTTTTTAATTGGTGAACATTTGGTTCACTGGTTTGCTAGTATCTAACTATTGATGTTTATTAAATGTTTGTTTTGAAGTAGTAGGATATGGGGTTCAGTGTAACGTGTTATAGGTAGTAAGCTCCCATTGTATTTAAAAAAAAAGTGTTACATCGAAGATTGTGTGAAATCGGAGTAGAAAGACAGAAATTGGTTGATACAATGATAATTTGTTATTATTTTTAAGTTTTATACTTATTTTGTTATTGTTTCTATTTCGAACTTTATATACTAAAGTACGAGTAGGTCTGTACTAAAAATATGTTATGGATCATGATTTAGGTTGAAATTATTGTTATTTTATTTTGCTTGATGTATATCTATTTATAATGCGATTCAAATAAGAATAGGAAAGCCAATGACCTCCATCTGTCAAATGTCGCTTGAAAAGTAGGGTTTGCAAAAAAATCTCGAAACACTTTTTTAGCACTCAGCTGATTCTAGAATAAAAACCAAACATTTTTAAACAAACGATAACAAATGTTGATAATTAATATTATTTGTTTTTTTTTCGCTTATTGAGTATTGGCTATGAATGGTTGACAACCTAAATCGTCAACCAAATGTCACTTTTATGTTGCTTTTAGAAACTCGATTTAAAACTTTCGTTTACATATAGGATGCATGTCCGTATGTGACCTGCATTATTCATAACTTCTCCAGCGGTAATGCAAAGATGAGCGAAATTGAAGAGCTAGGTTCTGATTAATGATTTTTTTCACACAGTCCTAATAAAGAAATACTATCTATTAAAAATCGGTTGTGTTCTTTCTCAACTTAGTAAATTAACTTATTAAAAAATCTGATGTTTTGTCTCACTTAATCTTAGTAAATAAGTTTTATTGAATAGCAAAATTTTTTTGCTCACTCTACCTATTTGAATGGAATTGACAGCTATGACGTCAAAATATGGCGCCCAGTCGGTCCTATTGTTAGTTGAATCGCATTATAGTTTATTGTTAAATTGTACGCTCCATCTTGTCTTGTTACACTGAACTGTACACCTATGGCTGTTAAACTCTACAAAAAAAAAGTAATTACTAAGCATAATTTCGATATTATTTCAAGTCAAAAATGATTATTAAAGATGGCTGATTTTATATTAAATACTACAAAGAAGATATAATAAACGGTTAGGCTAGGTATCCAACGTGAAAACGCTGCCAGCCTTTTGGGCACTATTCCTGACGTCGGCGCTGGGGGTGATATATTTTTTATTTTGTAGGTTGTATATTATTTAAGCATTTTGCAAGCTTGATGTCAACTTTCAATTGGACGACACTGTATGAAATAAAACAGGGAGAAAAAAGCAGCCCTTGCTGAGTTTCTTGCCGGTTCTTCTCAGTACAAGGTCTCCCGCCGTAGATTTGCGAACCGATGGCGTATCTTTTCGACATTCACAAGTGCTTGTAACAGCCAAGACTGAATAAACGATATTGAATTTTGAATTTTGAATTTTAAGCAGTTAAGTTTTAAGACAATAATTAGTTTTCTTATTTTGTTATTTAAATATACTTCGAATTGAATAAGAACTTTCTACTAAATAAATATAGGTCACACGTAGCAACGATTATAATCAATTTGTCCTAGTTAAATTTAATCATCAAACATAATTATTATAATAATGCTAATTTTATACACAAAAAGAATATCGAAATGTCATAACTACACAAATAAGTCTCTATCTAATTACATGATTACTCTATATATAAATACTACAACAATAAAACTAAAAGTAAATACTTAAAAAATAAAATTAATAACTAAAATATATTATTAAAAGGATTCCCTTTAGGCAAGGATCCGAAGATACTGGCAGCGTTACCACTTTGAATGTCTAGACTAATAAAAAAAATAAAAATAATAATAATAATAATATATTAATAAAATTTAAATCTTAATATGTAAATATAATAATTTAAAGATACGTAAACTCTTAATGTCAGTGATTGTCACTGCAGATTGCCCTGCTGCCAAAGCTCAATAAAGTTTTCTTTTTAGAACTAAAAATGACGTTTTTGTTGCACTGCCCCTACATGCAGTGGCGGACTAACAGGGGGGCGGAAGGGGCGGCCCGCTCCGGGCCTCCGATCTTGGGGGGCCCCCAAATGCCTCCACGTTTCCCTGATCAAATCCTAAACTAGACTTTAAAAATGTGCTTAGTACCTACATAATTTCATCAAGATCAAAACACTACAGCCATCTAGACTTTTTACGCAGTACTAATATTGTTTTAACTTCGCTGAACGCGTCCAATACGCTGGGGGAATTCCCGTCTCTGTAGTGGGTACTTCCTCAGGAATCCCTGAATGAATGAAGTACAAATAATTCACTCTTGTACGCCTACATTTTAACATTCACTATATTTACATCGAAAAAATTAACATTGGCCTCATTTAAAATCCTTTCAATGTAACCTCATTAAAAAGTGTAATACTGTTTTTGATTTTTGTTGCTGCATAAAAGTAAATGAGTTTAGAGTTGAGTTAGTGCATTTTTAAGTATTTTGAAAAAGTGAGTAATTCTTCGTATAATTTAACCTAGAAATCATAATTCGCAGTTTCTAGTCAATATGTAACATATTGTAGGTATGTTTATTTAGCCGAAATAATTTAATTGAAATTTAAATTTCACTTGCCAGATTTTAACGAAACAAACTAAGAAACTACATTTTTTTTAAAGTTGGGGGGGTTCATTCAGCTTGGCCGCCCCGGGTCTCTGACGAGCTTAGTCCGCCACTGCCTACATGACCGCTATTAGGTAACTCCTTAAAAATGCCGTCAGTGCAAAAGATATCTAAGGGTCAATTTATACTAGCGCAGAGTCGAAGCGCATCGGAGCGTAAAATTCTTCACAACGAAAGCGAAGTTGTACGAATACGAGAATGCGCGCGCACCAATCAGCGTTGGTTACGCGCAGACGGGGGAATTCCACCGAATGAGCGTGTGCCTTGTTATATCTCCGAAGTAATGTCGTCACATCTACGGCAAACATACGAATCTGCTTTTTTAGTTAAAAATCTATAATAAAAAACTGTACATAATGGGGTACTTAACACCAGGGAAAAGTCACACAATTTTATCGATGACGGTTCCAAAAGTCTGATTGTTTGAATCTGCATTTTATGTTTATACACCCAAAGTAAATTTACCAAATTAATATACGACTAGCAAAACAGTGAACCAAATGTTCACCAATTAAAAAAAAATGTATTTAATTAATTGAGAACTTCGGAGATTTTGTGTGGTTTCGTTTGAAATTCGTGATTTCTCGAAAATCGGAAGTGCTACGTTACTCAAATCAGGTTTGTAGTCTAATCAGACTATTCTTAACTTATAACTTAAACATTCTCTTTATCTATCTCTTACGGTTTGGCCGCTGAAACAGCACCACAGACAGACGGACGGACGGAAGGACGGACTTATCTAATAGATAAGAGATATTTTGGCGTTGTAGGTTTTATGAAATTCAAATTCGTAGTGCAGTCCGCTGTGGAGATAAGGTTGAATTTGTTATGTTAATTATCGGATTTACGCTTCGATGCGCTTCGACTCTGCGCTAGTTTAAATTGTCCCTTACGAGGTTAATAGCGTAAGTATTTGCATCCAAATATCCTGTTGCTAAAGGTAACAAAATGCAAATCTACCAACATATCGGTTGTAGTTTTCCTTGTCCACGTGATTTGATAGCAGAAACATGGATTCTTAACATTTATAAAAAGTCCTTTAAAAATAGATATACAAAAAATGTTTTATTTAAACGACCTTTTCAAATGTTCCCAACATTGTAGTGTGGACGAAGTTATAACTTTACCTAATTAAGTTTGCTCAGTGCATAAAATTTTAATTGATTTAATATTAAAATGATATCAACAAAAATAAAGACAGATTTCATTTAAGCAAAATCACTGAAAATAAAGGTTCACCAAATTAAGGTGAAACAAACGTAAAACCTTAATCTAAAGTAATTAAACTCTAATAAAATTGACTAAAGTTTTTAACAGTTATCAAATTCATCAAAATATATGGAATGATCTCGAAATGAAACCAATAACTAAAAAGATTCTATACTTACCTTATCTTGTTATGAATTTATCAATGATGATTTGAAAAATATAAAACATTTGAATGTCCAAGTTACGGGTTACTTCACAATAATGAAGAAGTATACAAATCTAAAGAAAAGTTTACTAGAAAAAAATCCACGACGACCAGGCAGCGGACGGGACTCGAACCCGCATCCTTCGCAATCCGGGCGAATGCACTGACCATTATGCTACCACGGCCCTATTAGCCGCGTCGAACTTTTCCTAGCCTTAAGCTGCAAGGCAGCGCCATCTCTTCGCATTGTAGGTAACCCACAATGTCAAATGAATACTTTTTCAAGTATTAAACATTTGAAGGAAGAAATAGCAATTATAGTTCTGATATGATTTTTTTTTCTAGTAAACTTTTCTTTAGATTTAAACATCTAGCAGTTAAATGCTTAAAAAATTAATAAAATCATAAGAATACAAATGTTAAATCGTTGAAAACTTCTTCCTATTTTAATTATCGGTTAAAATAAGAGTGGACAGTACTTACATAATCTTCCTTTAAAGGCACAGCCGTGTAAGGGATGGGCTGCCAGACTTTGCCCACTCCTTCGTCCCACTGTTGCTCCAATTCAGGGGGGTAAAGTGCTGACATTGCCACCTGAACAAAAACATAAAGTTTACAAATATTTATTTATAATCAGGCTACATAAGCCCATAGATAAATACCTTATAGTCTAACATATATCTTTATATATATAATTCTTCTGTGAGTGTGTATGTCACTGAACTTCTCTTAAACGACTGGACCGATTTTGATGAAATTTTTTGTGTGTGTTCAAGGGGATCTGAGAATGGTTTAGATTTACAATTTTGTCCGCTGGACAATCCCTATTTTTTTAGGGCGGTACGAAGTTCGCTGGGTCAGCTAGTACAGATATAAAACACTGTTGTTAGTAAATAAAATTATTAGCTATGTTAGTAAATACCTAATTAACACGTATAGATGGCGACGTGTGACGCGAAGTGGTGTCAGGTAACCGGCCTCGGAACCGCCGGAACACTACACCTTTCGGCCAAAGATCATCCTTCATGAAAGACGCCAGACGTTCAGTCTGTACCCTCACGACAAATGAATTAAAATTCACATTGTGACGGGCGACCGTGCGACTCTCAGGGAGAAATTGGTCTTTATCCGCAGGTACTCCACGATCTCCTCTTCCTTCGTAGAGTAATGCATGCATTTGGCATACGTGAATGGAGTGCAGTAACCAATTGAAAAGGATTTTTCCAAATGCTGATAAGCACGGATTTGGATGAAATTTGGCACACACATAGTTTATCATTTAGATCGACACATAATATGATAATTTTAGATTCTACAAGAATTTTCAAAAATCTAACAAGAACGCGGACGTAATCGCGGGTAGAAGCTAGTGGTACTATATTTAGAGATATATATTTTACTAGTGGCAGCCCGTGACTTCATCTGCGTTAACTATGGGTTTTTTGAGAATCCCACAGAAATCTATTATTCTTCCGGGATAAAAAGTATCTTATGTCTCTCAATTTAGGTCATAGAAGTTTAATAGTTTTTGTGTAATCAAGTTACAAACTTTCACATTTATAATATTAGTGAGATGTAGAAAAGAATCCATGGTCATCATAAATAATATAATAATCATTTATTCATAACCCTCAACATTTTACATTTAAAGTATTAAGCTAATAAAGTCTACGAGTATTTATATAAAAGTCTGAAGAAATGGACCCCTAACCCAGAAACTAGAAGAAATTGTAATTATCAGGGTTAGTGATTCCTCGGTCGACATATTGCAAAAATATTTTAATTTTAGTGCAGGCGAATAGGTTTGACTACAGCTGTTGAGGTGAGTAATCAACTAAACGAAACAAAACAATTTATCAAATATTGATTAAGTGGGAGCGTACAAGTATAAGTGAAATTATATTGGTGGTGTGTTTGTGCATGTGTGTGTATGTGTGTGTGTGTGAGTGTGTGAGTATGTGTTTGTGTGTGTTTGTCTTATATTATCCATAACTGTTTCTTATTTTAATTTTAATAGATTTTCTGTGTCTGAATAGTTTTGCTTCCAAAGATAAGCAGAGGTGTTCTTCTTCACTTCATACATATTTTGGGTATAAATAATAAAAAAATAATTCGATGAATACATATTAAAAGGAAAAATATAAGTAGGCCAGATGTAAAGTGAGTAACTTTTAGAGAAAATATGTGCAGCAATAGCTTTAACTTGGCATACCGCAAGGTGCACCTTCGGTCCTCATTAAATTACCCTTTCAGTTGTGAAAACCAAACATGCGTACTTACTAATAAGGGAATCCAATATACATACAATAATAATATGAAACCAGATTGATGGAAAGGAGTTTCTTACCTGTGCAGTCATTTTCGTTCTATCCTTGTCGGTACATCTAATTGCAATCTCGTGGTAAAGATACAAATTCGACACCAACTTGCGGCCTTGGCATCCGTACCTCTGCCGGAGAAACTTTCCGATTTGGTATGCTCTGCGTTTGCCAACCTGGAAAGATATTTGAGATGAATTTGTGCTCCATCTCAGACAGAAGCGTAGCCCGTGGCGTTTAGCGCCTTTTTTCTTTTTTTGAGTATGTATGCTGTTGTTCGCAGACGACCTTTACAGCGTCACCGTGCCTCTAGAGGTATTCCAGGCGGATGGCATCTCCCCACGGGTTGAGTCTCCTCTCCGTCTGGAGCCTCTAGACCACAACCTGAGGGGATTTAGCGCCCTTTCAGCTGCGCCCGTTTTAACGCACACCCTGCACTGACTAACATGTTTGCGTGGGAAAGAAATTCAAAGTCAGAATCTGTTATTTAAACTCATGGCTATCTTTAGACTGACTATTACATAAACAATGACATATTACAACACCAAATCTTGAACCCATTTTAATATACGACAGAGAGGAAAGCTGAATATGGCTTCTTCGCTCTAGGCCGCGACTGAGTTGCTTTATGGCAGTGGTTCTTAACCTTTTAGTGATGAGGGACGATTTGTCTACTATATGATCGATCTACAATTTGTACTATATGAAAATCGAAATAAATGTCTGTAACGAACGCCTGCACTTGGCTTCTGCCGCTCCGGACCATGACCCTCTTGGCTTGAAAATACCTAAAAAATCCTAAAATGCTTCCAGGGGTCCGCGGTTAGTAAGCATTGCTTTATGGGATAAAGGAAGAATTTTCAATACTATATTATGCCTTTACTACCGATATAAATATTTAAATTTAAAAGGAATTTAGTTAGTTAAATGAATTTTCTTAGTTTATGTTCACTTAATGATCTTACGTTAGTGAGACCTTCCAAGCCGTCTAGAGCCGTCAGATTTTTGAGTTTCTCTTGTTCATTCGATAGGGAGAGTTCATCGGCATCCGGTGTTCTCTCACCGTGTCTGTTTACCTGCGAATAAACAAAGTTAATGATAAATGGAAATCTAATAAAAGCTTATTGTTGAGATAATAGAGTGGTCTGCCATTATTGAAGTTCAGCGACATCAATAAGATTATTCGTCCCGTCCGCTGCCTGGTCCGCGTGGTTTTTTTTTTCTAGTAAACTTTTCTTTAGATTTAAACATCTAGCAGTTAAATGCTTAAAAATAAATAAAAACATAAATAAGATTATTGTTATTTTTCGATAGAATAACAAGTTGATTATGTCTGGAGGCACGTCTTTGACATGAAATATTGGAATCTAGAAGGCCTACTTCAAATAAATTTAATCCATTTGGTATGCTCAATTTGGTGTACCTATATACAGGACGTCCCACGGGTTTGTCACACGGAGGGAAAGTATATTAAATATTGAAAATAGGATATTTTACTGAAAGAAGACATCATTTTATTTTTAATAAAAAATTTGCATTCACAGTTTTTAAAAAATCGCCTGCCACAGCCGGGAATCGAACTCTTGAAATGCGTAACTTAAAACACGTGTATTTAATGATTTGCGTCAAAAGGGTAAATCATGAGGATTATTTTATCTTGAATAACATAACATTTTAAATGAGAGAAAAATCACGATTTTGTCTTTTTTTTAGAAAATTGAACACAAACTACAATAAAATAGAAACGGTGCAAGGTTTGTATAAGTATTGCTTTATTTTAATTTTAAATCTTTTGTTATTCCACTGAATACTCTCTAGCAGGTACTAGTTAGTAAATACTTTGAAATGATAGCATGAGCTGTTGGAAGCACGGAAAAGCAAGCGGAAATTTTCCTGAACAAAATTATAATTTCATGATCTTCTTTTCATTTAAAATGCTATTATTTATTAATGCTATATTCTTTAGATTTTTAATACTTATTGTTCGATAGCTTAGTGTCTTCTTTATGTGGAAATCTTAATAAAAATCGGATATCCATATTGTACAATATTATTCAAAGTAAAATACAGATCTTATGAAATTATGTGCGTACGTTGTCTTTTAAATTCGAATCGCAAGAGAATGAATCTTTATAAAACTAACGAGTAAGGAATTAATGTATGAACGGACGATCAATCAAACAATCAATCAATCAAATCATTTATTCGTTGTCATCGGTAACAATAAGTTTTTAAAATTTATATAAATGTGCCTCCATGACATGCTCAACAGCATACGAAAATTTGTTATCATTTTAAATTCAATGAAATCATAATCATAAAAGAATCAATACATTCTATCTATACATCAATAAAAAAAAAAAAAAAAATCGAAATAGCAGTATCCATTAAAAATTCATTTACATTATAATAAAATTTAACCACTAACAATTTCGTCAGTATTTTTTTAAATTTATTATAATATTTAATGCTGTCAGGTAACTTATTATATAATTTAGGAGCCATTTCTACAACACTTTTCTTCATTAGCGCTGTTACATACATATTTGAACAAACTCGATGTTTGTACAATGATGAGTGTAGAACACGATGATGATTTACCGATTGCAGATTCTCTCGTCGAAGGATAGATGGCGTTAACACTTGTATTTAAGCTTTAAAGTTGGGGCCACTTCTGTAACCCAAAGGTCTGGACAATCGATGCCACATGGCATAGCTACACTTGCACTGGGAAGATAGCTTTCAATACTACGAAATAAAAGTATGACGTGAATCTTCTCCGTGCCTGTTCACTTTGGGTCCAGTCCGACTTGTGGTGTCCGAATCCGTCCGAACTAGGGGTGGGCGTTTTTAGAATAACGATGCGTTATAACGATGCCAGGGATGCCGTTATTGGATGCCGATGCCATCTAGTTTTCGTCAACGTTACTATAGCAACGGTGCCACAAACTTATCTGTGCCGGTGAAGATGTCGCTAGCGGTGAACAAATATGTCATGAAAATGTCACAATTCTATGGATAAATTGTAGTTCACATTCTCGCCACCGGCACTGAAAAGTTTGTGATTCTACGATACTGACGTTCTGACGGTTTCTGTCCTACAGGCACTGGACAACAATATAATGACATCAGGGTTAATTTACGAATGCCACTGCAAGTTATCCAATATTTGTAATGACAATAGACTGACCTTACAATGGATTAAAGGACACAGCGGCTCAAGGGGTAACGATGCGGCTGACTGCCTGGCTAGAGAGGGATCCAGCAGCCTATTGTACCCATACCTTATCTACAGCTGAGAACCTGGATAAGGGAGCGGTGTCAACGACAACACGATGAATATTGGGCAAAACACACTGACTGCAGGCAAGCTAGGGAAGCCGTTCCTAAGGTAAACCAGCAGCTATCACGTAAGTTAATCCGACGACCTAGACAAGCTCTGAAACAAATCGTCGGTATATACTTACGGGTCACGGCTACTTCAACAAACACCTTTATAATATAGGTATTTCTGACAGCCCTCTGTGCAGAGCCTGCTTGGAGGAGGAGGAGACGAGCGCCCATGTTCTACTGGAGTGCAGAGGCGTTGCAAGACAAAGGACTTCTCTTATGGGAAGTCCGCGGACACTAGTAGAAGCTTGCAGCAACATCCGGGGACTGTTGAGCTTTCTGGAGGAGCTGGGATGGCAGGACTGATGCCATCCCCACGCAAAATAGGCACTGGGTGTCGAGTTGCGGAAACCGCCCGCCGTACTACTAAGACTAAGACTACTGACGTTCACTTGGAATCGATGCGATGCCGGCAAACTGTGCGCGGATCGGATACGATTTATCTGATACCGATGCGCATCGATTTCATGAATATCTAAAAACGCTCATCTCTAGTCCGAACAAAAGATGGCTAGGGATGTCGAAAGTTGAAAAAAATATCAATATATCGATACATCGATCTTTTAAAAAATATCAATATCGGCGATATATCGCGAAAAAAACATCGATATATCGATATATCGGACCAATTTTCCCAAAAATATCGTACTCTCACTCACGAAATATGACACGCGGAATAATAATGGAACGAAAATTATCTCCCTAAAAATAGACCCCTATTTTCGAATGATGACATAGACAATACTAAATACAGCACAGATCATAGATATGTTGAATATCATTAATCTGAGATCCAGTTACGATTTTTCCAGATACGAATTTAGTTAGATCGTGATATGCCGCTAATAATTAAAAAAATATCGTTTTTTGATACGAATTTCGATATTGGTTATTTTGTATCGATGTATCGATATATCGAATCAAAATATATCGGCAAAAAATATCGATATAACGAACAAAAAATATCGATATATCGATATATTTTCAACAAGCCTAAAGATGGCTGGCCCCTCATCAATTAAGATTGTGACAAATGACCACATTTACAACAGCGTCCCATTGTGGACTCGCCTTTGTTTCGCCGTCCAATTTACATAATGTTCGTCACTAATTAGCAACAGTAATCACTTGAACTAGCGACGCTGGGAAAACCAAAACATGTTTTCTTTATTTTTTCCTCACTTTATTATTTTTGTAATTACATAGTTGTATGTTTCGCTCTGTATCTCACACAAAATAGCCTTTCGTCAAAATAAATTTAATACATAGGACAGACTTTATCACATGTCCATCTACAAAGGTTGTAGAGAGTTTATGTGATGCAAATTGAGATAGTTGTGTCACGAAATCTAGACATTTATTACCTTACTAGTGGCCCGCCCTCGTTTCGCTTCGGTGTAGAGCTGTAGTTTAGATTATATTTTTGTTCTCAAGCTTCTATTAAACACAATGACTTTCTTTAAATACCTAATTACTAAAGACACGCGCCGCCGCCCCGCCCCCCCCCCCCGGCCAGTACCGCCCAAACCGGTATGTTCCTGCATTTTAAATCTGTAATATCTTCGAAAATATTCATTTAAATTACATGCTGTAAAGGGCCATATTGATCTATATTACACGCACAATATATTTAAGGTACCTAATTGGATAAGGATGAATGCTGTATTGCTTAAAATCGCTTGTTCGTAAATAAGCCATTATTTTCTCGTAATAAGTAATTAAAAAATGGTTATTGTGGGTTATACCAAAGAGATAGGCATATACCATCGCGGACTTTTTTGTAGACCTATTTAAGGTGTACAATACTGTAGTACATTATTTTGATCTATCTCGTTGGGTTCAGCCAGCGTTTGCAATGCAAGCGCAAAAAATGTGTTTATTTACGACCTTACATTAAAAACCTCTAAAATTATCAGTGTTTCTCTACTATATTATGCATGTATTATACATATAAACCTTCCTCTTGATTCACTCTATCTATTCAAAGAAACCGCATCAAAATCCGTTGCGTAGTTTCAAAGATCTAAGCATACAAAGGGACATAGGGACAGAGAAAGCGACTGTTTTATACTATGTAGTGATTATAGCATCGCGTATTATAATACTTAAAAGCGATATAACTATTTGTTAAATACTAATACCCGTATTACAGAATGACAACCAAGTGTTGATCTTTACTTGAGTACAGTTAGACTCATGACTATGCTCAAGACTAGATCAGTCACTGAGAATCTTTCTATAATACGGGCCTAAGTTATGTTTTCAAATTATGCTTAGTCTACGTTATTTAAGATATACTGGTATTCTTAGATTTGTCTAAGATTGATTTCACAATACCACCATATGACAAAACTATCTCTAATTGGTGACACTAGAATTGCCTCTATTGCATGGAGCATCGCTTGGTTTTAAGGCAATTCCAATATCACCAGGGGGCCAATCGCTTAACGGAAATGCTTTGGGAAACGCTAACGCTTACGATTTTGCGCGAGGCATTTGAATACCTCAGGCGGCTAGAAATAACAAAATAAAATCGTTAGCGTTAGCGTTTTCCAAAGCATTTCCGTTAGGCGATTGGCCCCCAGTTTGACACTGTTTTTTAATTATTTTAATTCAGGACTTGAAACCGGTATCAAAAATACCGGTCAATAAAGGTTAATACCGGTTTTTAGTAAAGGTTTCGTTCGGAGCGCGTCCGAAATGAAAGCGGTACCTAAAACCTTAATAAACCGGTTTATTAAGGTTTTAGGTACCGCTTTCATCATAAGATTATGGATCCTGTCGGGTACAGCATCTAAGAAACGTTCAAAATTCAAAAACATCTAATTCAATCACGCAAAAATTACTGAACGGGTGTGGGTGAACTTTGGTACGCTAAAAGTTTATGATTTTGATTGAGACACAGGATAGTTTTATCTCGGTAAAATGGTTCCTAGCCTGTTGGATTCTCAAAAAACCTAAGTGAACGTGGACAAAGTCGCGGGCTGCCGCTAGTTATATTATAATAATGCATATTACAAACAAAATCAATAGTCACCCGACCGCGTATATTTTTTTAGTATTTTTTCTTTAGATTAAAATATCTAGCAGTTACATGCTTAAAAAATAAAAATACAATAAAATCAATAGGTACATAAATAATCTTATTAACAAATACCACATTATCGAAATAAATTAAAATAATTTTGTCTTTATGATATTCTTAAGCACTTAGGTATTTTCAAAGATTTAAAACGGTATTTTTCCTTAATTACCGACATCATTAATAACATTCAAATAAAATAATAATTCAAAATTATGTTTTTCTAAAGTTTATATATCAGTTTATAAATCAATGTCGTTTGACGTTTTAATGACATTTGTGTGACGTCAATTGCTAGTCAGACGCCATAATGTCCAGAGACAACGGCAACTTGAAAATGGAATTTTTGATTTAGTTTTTTTTATGATTTTATTTATTTTTAAAGCATTTAACTGCTAGATGTTTAAATCTAAAGAAAAGTTTACTAGAAAAAAATCCACGCGGACCAGGCAGCGGACGGGACTCGAACCCGCATCCTTCACTATCCGAGCGAATGCACTGACCATTATGCTACCACGGCCCTATTAGCTGCCTTGCAGCTTAAGGCTAGGAAAATTTCGACGCGGCTAATAGGGCCGTGGTAGCATAATGGTCAGTGCATTCGCCCGGATAGCGAAGGATGCGGGTTCGAGTCCCGTCCGCTGCCTGGTCCGCGTGGATTAGTTTTTTTTACTGAAATACACAGCAGAATGATGCATATCCACTTTTTATGGACTTTATAAACATTAGTAAATAACGTGTAATCGTTTTCCAAAACTTGTCAAACACCCACCCTTATGCGATTCAAGATTCATTCATCATCAGCCTATTAATGTCCCCACTGCTGGGGCACAGGCCTTCCCTATAGACGGAATAGGGGGATTGGGCCATGACCCACCACGCGGGCCCAGTGCGGATTGGTGGGTGCTAACGCCTGCAGATGCAGCCGGGACCAACGGCTTAACGTGCCTTCCGAAGCACGGAGGGGCTCGAGATAGTAAATTTTTGGTCACCCATCCAATGACCGACCACTGCGAAAGTTGCTTAACTTCAACGATCGCAGCCGAACGCGCTAACCACTTGCGCCATCGATTCAAGATTGAGTAAGTACTTATTAATCTCCGATCGTCATAACTTGCAATTATAAGTGTTTGTCTCCATTAAATCTCGTGTGCCAAGATCACGAACTTAGATATCTCTCAAGTTCTTTGTCTCAATAATATATTAATTATGTAAATCGTTAATTAGCTTCTAATTGCATAACTCTGAGTGGCGTACTTATCATTATGTGATACTTATCCTGTAGACCAGGAAATGTTATTTTCTATTTGTATTGGATTGCAATTATTATTACGTACTTAATCGTCGATGAAATACAAATAATATAATAATCATGCAATAATAATTAGGTAGGTATACGGAGGAGCTCGATGGCGCAAGTGGTTAGCGCGTTCGGCTGCGATCGTTGAACTTAAGCAACTTTCTCAGTGGTCGGTCATTGGATGGGTGACCATAAATTACTATCTCGAGCTCCTCCGTGCTTCGGAAGGCACGTTAAGCCGTTGGTCCCGGCTGCATCCGCAGTCGTTAGCACCCACCAATCCGCACTGGGCCCGCGTGGTGGGTCATGGCCCAATCTCCCTATTCCATCCATAGGGAAGGCCTGTGCCCCAGCAGTTGGGACATTAATAGGCTGATGATGATGATGATGACGGTTATATCATCCGAGAGTAGGTACAATTACTCTTAAATTACAGAACATATGTTATCCGAGTTTATTCTTAAAACACCCGTGGAGGCTTTTTGACTTTATTACTTCAGTGTTGCTAGATTAAAAAAAAAACGGGCGGTTGCCACCATTTGAAAAACGGGAGATTATTTTCTCTTAGAATGGAACCTTTAAATAACAAAGACTGAAAGGCACCTTGTTTATCGATTTACACCATCATGAAAATTATAAGATTGTGGCTTATGTCGGATTGACGGAAAACTTATCAATCGACAAATTAGAAATGATCAATACTTTAGTCACATGTTACTTAATAGTTACTACGTAAAGGACAATGTTAAAATTGGCCTAAGAACCAACACCAATTTGGCATTTATGATAATGCTTAATATATTTTTTGGGATAATTATCAGTATTTAGATTGTTACGGCCACTTCCAGTTAAGTAAGCTAAATTAAAAAGTTAAAAAATAATCTGAGACAATAAATACCATTTTATGTGCATAATCTATGACAGCGCTGCAAACAAAACACTCTTGTTTCCTAATGCCGGCACTTCACTTGGCTATTCGTATTTGCTATTTTAAAACATGACATCAGTCTGTCCTTTTCATTCCTTATTAAGCATGACAAGGACAAACTGTTGTCAAGTGAAGGGCCGGCATAAAACTCGATACTCTGTGGTTGTGATGCAAGCAGGCAGTTTGCATTCGTAGTAATCTGTGGCGTGGCATTCGTGCATTCCAAAGAGTTTCACTTCATACTAAGTTCATAGGTTGACCTATGTTTCATTGAATATTAAACATAACCTCAAAAAACATTTAGTTTTCCTAATAATTTAAGTTCGTAAGTGTCCGTCAATAATCTTTGTTTTAACAGTCATTTACTTACGATTTCGAACCTAGAAAATAATATTTCATGATTGTTGGTTCTTAGGCTAACTATGTATGGACGCTGAACAATGTCCTTTAGTTCACATCGGCACTTTTTAAACATGGTACACTAAAGAAAAACGAGCGGGCCTTACAGTAGTCGCGTATGATGTGTAACATTTGAAACCTTACCTTATATTAGTAAAAAAAAACCTACTACAAAAGGAATAAGCCATTTGAACAGTATTTTCTAGAATCAAATCAAATAGCGCTCGTTTTCGCGACTTCCTGTTACACACTTCCGTCCCATTTCACGAAATCACTCCCACAAATTGCAGGAAAGCGACAGGAAAGATCTTACACATAAAAATCTTCTTTAGCTCGGCTCAGCTTTCCATTAGCTGTGTTGAGTTGCGAGCTGAAATTTTTGTCACGTAAAGTATTAATTATTAGAAACACGTACATGAAATCTTTTGACGCGGAAACGAATAGAATTCGAGAAAAAAAAAAATATTGAAAATTAATATTTTTGTAGGTTAAAGTCAATTTTGACAGCTATTTTGATCAGTGCTGCCATTTTTTCATTGCAAAAATAACATGTTTCTCGTTGTCTATGGTAAAAATATGTTTATTAAGTTGGTACTATTGTGAAAATGACAGATATACCGCAATTTTGTGTTTGCTTTGAGATACGTCAGGGAGTCTGTGTTCGTCGGTATAAATTATATTTGCTATTATTTAAGGCAGCAGTACTGGTTCTTACTTCCCTAGTCCATGTATCCTAAAAAAATACGCATTTTTAGTTTAGGTTAATTTAAAAAAAATGCATTTACGCCTAAAATCTTTAGTGGGGGGTGAGTCGGGGAGACTCCCCCCTCCCCCCATATCAAAACTACCCCCAAATTCAACCACAGCTAATGGAATTAAGCACCAAGAGATAACTCACAACAAAGGCTAAGACTAGTTCCTGGTCCGGCAGCACCTCGTTACTGGTGGGAAGAGCATGTGACACGCCCGCGTGTGCTACGAAGCAAACTAGAGCCAAATACTGCAACATTCTGTAACAAAGAAATAGCCGTTTTAATTCCCGTAAATAATAGTACATTATATTATAAGTGCGGTAATTTATGTGTTGCATTAGGGGGACCAAACCACTACATTAGATTTGATATACCACAGATCCTTGCAGCTGAGCGGCGGTTCGTTCCTCGAATGATGCGCGAGACGAGCGCGGCTATTGAGATTAAAAAATATCCAAATTTCAATAGGGAAGATGGTTGGTATATACCACCAGCTTGGGAACTTATTATACAGGAGATAAAATCCCAACCCCGAGCACACACTGCAAGACCATCAGATACTATTAATTCTTTTTGTTTGCATAATTTAATATAAGAAGGAGATAGAAAGCCTCTCTTGAGTTTGTTTCGCCGGTTCTTCTCAGAAAGGTCCCAATTTTGGAACCGGTGGTAGTTACGGTAGTTAGGGTCAAATAAATAAACTCAAAATTACAAAAAAGTATTTAAAATAAAATTACTTTATTAAGTAAATTAAATAATAAATTCATACATAGACAATAAAACTTAACAATCGAACAATGAAATAACCAAACGCTCAATAAAAGTCTTTCGAAGGTAGCTCGACAAATTAAATAAAAGTTTTATTCTGACGACGAAGCCTGTAAAGGCTACGAAACGTCAATAAATAAATAAAGTTTCGTGCATTAACCCGTAAAAACTAGTTTTATTTAATAAGTGCGTTAAGTTGAGAATTACAGCCGAGGCGATTTTGTTAGCCCGAGCCGTAGGTGATATTATAAGAAGGCAAAGGCTGTAATTGTCAAACCGCACGTATGTCATACGACGTTTTATAACACATTTGCGAGGAAATAATACTACCTACGTACGTACTTTCTGAAAATGAATTTGCACCTTTGTTTGCTTTCCATAAATTAAATTTTGATATTCTATAGAAAATTCTATAGAATATCAATATTCTATTATATAGAATATTCTATTAGGGCTTAGCGTAGCGTAGCCTTTTTCGACTTTTGGCGGTGTCAAATTAATAAATTCATTTGACAATATTTTCAATTAAAAACAATACAGCGAAAAGAAAAAGAAATAATTTTTTCACAGATTAGCGATGCGCGCACATCAACGCTTTTTTTAGGCAAAGGAAGAAAAAACAGCCAGTGTTACTAATAAAGTAAATTAATATTTTTGTGAATTTGTTACCGATACATGGTTATAATTTATTGTCAAAATGAATCAAATTAAAGAATTAAATGTTTATATATTATATTATCTCCCAAAGTTGATTTTGCTAAGATTTAAAAAAAAGTATCGTTCGTTTTTAGACGGAACATAATAAGCCGTGCGTTTTACTTTACATTACCGCACGCGTGTGTAATGTGATAGATTATGATATTGAAATTGTTGCAATAAGAGACGCTTTACGAGTGTTATAAATTATATTACTATAATGTTAGTGACTATGAAGGTTTAAAATAATCTGTTATCTATTAGACAAGTCCGTCCGTCCGTCCGTCCGTGGTGCTGTTTCAGCGGCCAAACCGTAAGAGATAGATAAAGAGAATGTTTAAGTTATAAGTTAAGAATAGTCTGATAAGACTACAAACCGGATGTGAGTAACGTAGCACTTCCGGTTTTCGAGAAATAACGTGATTTCCATTTCAAACGAAACCACACAAAATCTCCGAAGTTCTCAATTAATTAAATACATTTTTTTTTGGTGAACATTTGGTTCACTGGTTTGCTAGTATATTATAATAGGTATTTTAGATTATTAACGAAATGGCTACCATATAACTTGTCAGTTACTCCGCGATCATGGCACTCGCAACGGTGCCGAATGAAATATCGGGGACTAGCAAAAAATAAGGTGCTTGGTAGCAAACCCTTTAATAACATAACTTACTGTGAAGGTCACGTCTTCATCATCAGCCTATTGTTCCCACGGCTGGGGTTCAGGCCTACCCTATGAATGGAATATGGAGATTGACCCACCACGCGGGCCCGGTGCGGATTGGTGGGTGGGTACTAACCACTGCAGATGCAGACGGGATGACGGCTTAACGTGCCTTCCGAAGCACGGAGGAGCTCGAGATGGTAAATTTTTGGTCACCCATCCAATGTCCGACTACTGCGAAAGTTGCTTAACTTCAACGATCGCAGCCGAACGCTCTAACCACTAGCACCATCGAGCTCCTCATCGAAACTGAACATTGAAGCTCTGCAGGCACTGCTGTTGTGAGCGTTCCCGTGATATCAACGGTTTATATAAAAGAAATCGATGGTGCATTGGCAAGTGTGTCCAGTTTGCGATCATGGAAATTCAGCAACTGTCACAAGTTCACAACAAATCGTTTTAGGGTGGGTGACAATTTTTATTTTATAGGAATGCACGATAAATCGCTTCTCCCGACTTCATCAGCTGCAGTCATAAGCTCCCACCAATCCACGTGATGGGTAACAGGGACCTTTCTTCGTTTTTAATCTGAAGGCAGGCCTCTCAAGTTTCGAAGACTCGTATTATAGATTGATAACTAATATGTCTTCTCGTCACCCATCCCTCAATGTCTCAAGTCGAAAGGCTTCGACCAGTGTCCTCCCAGCTATGACATACGGCGCCGAGACGTGGACACTCACGGCTGGACGAGTCCACCAGTTTAAAGTCGCTCAGAGAGCTATGGAAAGGGCTATGCTCGGAGTATCCCTGAAGGACCGCATCAGAAATGATGTAATCCTACAGAGAACCAAAGTCACCGACATAGCCCACCGAATTAGCAAACTGAAGTGGCAGTGGGCTGGTCACATTAGCCGCAGAACTGATGGACGTTGGAGCCGGAAAGTTCTTGAGTGGAGACCGCGACTCAGTAAACGTAGTGTAGGACGCCCTGAGACAAGATGGGATGATGATATTCGTAGGCTGGAGTGGGCTGGATGAGAGTAGCACAAAATCGGGAGCAGTGGCATTAGGGGAGACCTATGTCCAGCAGTGGACGAACATGGGTTGATGATGATGATGATGAACTAATATGTGCTATACATAACTACATCCCTTTCTAACTGTACTAAAGTAAAGATCAATACACTTAGTTATCATTCTGTAATACCAGCCTTAAAGACCTAGCGCACTTGTCGGCCGCTACCACGCCCATTAGCCGCTACCACCTGCTGGCTAATTTACTAACTTTTTTGATATTTTTAGTCTGTAACTAAAGAGAAAATTTCAAGTCCATCGATGCTTTTCCGAACAGGTCATCTTAGTGGCGTTGTATAAAGTATTAGTGGATTACATAATAGCTCAGTGATTATAACTTCTTTCTGCCAAAAGCAGTTAGCGGATAGGCCTACAGATTAACTATAGTTGGTCGTTTCGGTCTCTAAGCAGCTCTTCTGTCTGATGCGGGCGTGCCTCACTAAGAGACCGCCCCGTCCTTCTCGCGTATCTCTTATCTATTAGACAAGTCCGTCCGTCCGTCTGTCTGTGGTGCTGTTCCAGCGGCAAAACCGTAAGAGATAGATAAAGAGAATATTTAAGTTATAAGTTAAGAATAGTCTGATAAGACTACAAACCGGATTTGAGTAACGTAGCACTTCCGGTTTTCGAGAAATCACGAATTTCAAACGAAACCACACAAAATCTCCTAAGTTCTCAATTAATTAAATACATTTTTTTTTAAATCAGGTTTTGGTGAACATTTGGTTCACTGGTTTGCTAGTATGCTATAATGCTTAACTAGGCAGCTTTGCGTTGCTCCCCCTCTTAGGAGACAATCACTTCCGATGTAGCCTTAGAGGCCGTCCCGGCCAGAGGTAGCCCCTACATGTGTTTTTTAGCTAGTACGCGTCTGACATAACCTTGCAGCCGGCTGTAATCCTACATCCAAGAGGATTTCTCACCCGCTCCCCGCCTGGGAGAAAACAAAAGAAAGCGACGACGTTCGTGTATGGTTTCTTTAGTGAATCTGGTCGTTGCGGCCACTGGCTGTGGTCGTGGCCGTCTAGTGCGCAAGGTGCCTAAAAGTCGTACATTCATCGGTGTTATGTTTACTAGCTGTAATTTTGTTACTATAGAAGACACAGTAGATCAGATTATTAATAATAGTATAGGAATACTCCTTATCGGAATCGGGAAGTATACTGATGTAGGTTATTACTGCTACTTACGTAAAAAATGCTTATCTTGAATTAAAATATTAGGTTAGCGGTAACTAGGGTTATCGACTTTTTTCTATTAAGTATTTTCGAAGCTTTTACATCAAAAAATAGTAGGTATTAAAATGAAAAAAGTATAGGTGTGTATAGAGGAATGGGATTTAAAAATTCTAAAGTCTATGTTCCGCTTAACGCAAAATATGATAATTTCGCCTATTACACATTTTTTTAGGAAAAAAGTATTTGATCCCCTTAAATATGTAGTACACACACTGTATTAAAAAGTAGAATTGGTAACCCTAGCGGTAACTAGCGGTCAAGGGAGTAATTTTAACTATGTTTCTTTGATTACTTCTAAATTATTTATCAATTTTTATATAAAACAAAGGAAAAGATAATAATAATGTACCTAATAATATAAAGAACGTAGAAATATCAGCCAAATTCAACAATCAATTAAAATCATATTTAATCCAAAAATGTTTTTATAATTTAAAAGAATTTTTTGACGACAAATGTAATTAATTTTTAATGTTGACATTTTCATTATTATTATTATTGTTGCTTATTGACATTGTTAAATCTAGTTTATAAAATTGAATTGTTTAATGTGTAAAAATTAAATTATTATTATTGTTGTTTATTGAAATTGTTAAATCTATTTTATAAAATATAATTGTTGTGTAAAAATGAAATGTGAACTAAGTATTATAATATAATTATTAAACAAGCCCTCTGGCTTGATATTTGCTATGCCCTTGCAGGGCGTCACATATTTACTTTACATAAATTAATGTACCACCATGAATGTTATGTGACAATAAATGAATAAAGAAGGAAAATTGGAAAAGATGGTTTAGATTTTGTCCTCTTTG